AATGGAGAAACGAGCTCTTGAAGTAATTGATGTAAATAAGATGATCTCTGTTTCTGTCAGCTTGATGTACAGCTTCTAATGGTGACACTATTAGAGAATGACAACATAGATGTGCAAAGAACGTCTTTGTTTTTTGCTTTTTTTTGGTTTTGTTTTTGTTTCAGTCATTAACAATGCGTAACTCAGCCAAGTTCATACTAACTGGAGCATAATGCACTCCTTACAACAAATGCAACATATGTTTGTTTGTTTTGCAGGATACCGACCACACTCTGCTAATTTAAAGCAAAAACACTGTGCTTGAACATTGGTGATCCGCAAAACTCTTCTAAGATCTGAGGCTGTTTTTATTATAGCACTTAAAAACATGAACGGTTTCAACTTGTTGAATATGTGAGAAAGCTGTTAGATTAAAAAAAAAGATAACAATAAATTACCTACCATGTTTTCAGGAGTTTGGCCTGACATGAAAAAAAGCTGAAACTTAAATAATGTCTATCTCTAGGCACATAAAAGCAAAGGTTCGCCTTGTCTGATCCCACCAGCAAGCATTCTGAAAACAGAGAAGGGAGGAGAATGTGGGCTACGCAGTGTGTAGAAGATAGGAATGGCTGATTGAAGTCAGAGTTATAGCGTATTTTAGCATGTACAAGAAGGTATATTTTTTTGATAGAATTTTGTATTTGAAGTGGCTCAGGAGGGTAATGAAATGGCTTCATTCACAACAAACAGTATGTGGGGGCCACTATACAAAAGAGCAAAGGTTTGGCTCAAAACCATCTATTTATTATCTTTACCGGCTTCTTTCTTTGCAGTTCAATCCAACTACAACTAAGACAGTCCAATTCAGAATATTATTATGACCCCCGCACATGAAGCGTAAGCGGGAGTCATATTATTTTCGCACTGTTTTCTCAGTGATTTTTGGTCAACCGTAGCACAAAAACGGCTGCACCGATCAACATGAAATTTGGCAGAGCTGTAGATGAGTCTGACCTACACTGTGCCAGCCAATGGACGATAGACCCCATATTTGAGGAGGGGGCTCCTTTCAAAGTGGGGGTGTCAGGACATGCAAAAATGCTTATAACTCAGAAACTATTAAACAAAAAAGCTTCAGCTTTGTTTTGTTGTTTAGCTCTGATGAAACTCTATCCATCAGGCCCACCAAT